GGAAATCAGTTCACACACATGCATCCTTAATAGGCATATTGGGGAAATGGGAAAAGCCGAAGGCTGCTGAGAGTTGCCCAATGTCTCCAAGGCAAACAGCCACATTGGGCCTCTTTGTTTCATGGGGAAACCTTACGGTGCAGATCAGAGGCAGGATTGTGCCTTTAGGAGACAGTGTGTGGGGATGTCCACTTGTAGATTCTGTCCTATACCTCATATCTTCTTCTTTTTTCTTTTTTTGTCCTGTCCCCCACACTTCCCAGAGATAACTGTGGCCTGATCCACAGAAGAATTAACCAGAGGCAGATTTAGGGCAGTGCTACTGGTTCCCCCACATGAAGCACTGAGCCCAGGGGGTGCAAAAACCACCCCAGAAATTTGTAAAGGAATGTGTCAAAGAACACGCCATAATCCCCCCTCCCCCAAAAAATTCCTGTTAAATATAATTGTTTAATTAAGAATGTGTATTGCTGAAAAGGTGTAACATGGGGAAATGCCACTGGAGTATACTAAGTGATATCTGAACTCCTTGATGCATTGATAATTAACTGTTAATGTTCTCTGGTAGCTCTGACATGAGTGTTTAACCTTAGATCACATAAGAGGCTATTGAATTGCAAATTCTCAATCTTGGAAGGGTGGTGGCTGAGTCTGTATCTCAGGCTCTGTGGGAGTAAGGATGTGTAAACGAGTCCCCTGAAGGGAGAGGAAATGGCTCCAGGCAAAATGGAGGCTGTAAGGAGAGAGACTTTTGGTTATAGAAGAAGAAGAGGAGTTTGGATTTGATATCTCGCTTTATCACTACCCCAAGGAGTCTCAAAGTGGCTAACATTCTCCTTTCCCTTCCTCCCCCACAACAAACACTCTGTGAGGTGAGTGGAGCTGAGAGACTTCAGAGAAGTGTGACTAGCCCAAGGTCACCCGGCAGCTGCATGTGGAGGAGCGGAGACGCGAACCCGGTTCACTAGATTACGAGTCCACCACTCTTAACCACTACACCAGACTGGCTCTGTTTGGAATTATTTTTTTCTCCCCTAAGGTGCTGAACCTGTGCTGGACTTGCGCAAGATATTGTATGGAATTATTTTGATATATCATTTACTGTTTTTCTATTCTGTTTTGAAGAAAGTTCTGCAAATAGAGTTTTGAGTAATATCTGAGGGGTCTGGACAATGTTTCATTCCAAAAGGAGTCAATTTTTATGCATCCAGTTGCTTCAAGTTGCACAATATTAATATCAACAATAACGCTGCCCCCCCTTCAGACTGTTGAGATTTCCCCCGGGTGGCTGGGCTACAAGAGCTGCAACCACGTCAGTCTTGGGCTGCAAATCGCCCCTCCACCTCCTCCACCCACCTCTGGTACAAAGATTTAAGCCTTGCACAGGGTGCTACATTATCAAAGTCCGCCCCAGGAGAATGGAAAAAGTTAGGTGTTAGAACATTAAAAAACAGAGAGAGAGAGATGCACACACAAGTGTTTGCATTCCATGTTAGCATCTTTACCAAATCTAAATTTTATAGCAGTGGGTTTGTATGGAACAAATTTTCAAAGTAAATGCATCAAAATTAAGGGACCAAAGTTTGGGCTCATTGACACCTACCTCTGACCCTTGCACTGCCACTCTCCCCAGGTAAACACAGTCTTTACCACCAAATTGGAATTGTTTTCAGCAGCAAAGAGTGGGGTTTTCATGGGGAAAGTGCTGGGGCAAAAATAAACAAGCAAATAAAAAGTCCTTGGACTCAGACCCGGAAAGCCCAGACCTGTGCCTAGAAATACAGAACACAGGACCCTTAGTCCCCACGTGGATGTTCGTTTCAATGGTTCAGCTCTCAGTAAAAAATAATAATAGTTGAATGGCACACTTGGGGTTTGAAGAAGTAGGCTGACCTCCTGGCCCCTTCCTGTTACAGTAAATTTCGGATCTTGTGATTTTGCTTTATGTTGGGATTCCCTGTTCACACCATTGTGGATTCAGGCAGGATGTGCACGAAGCTCTTTGCATATGGTTGTTCTTGCTTGGTTTTCTTTCTTGCACTCTGCATACTTAATTTTAAAAAATAAATAAATAAAAATATTTTTTAAAAAAGAAAAGGAAAAAAAAGTGCATTCTGATATAACAAGATTTTTTGGATATTCCTTCCAGGGTATTTCTTTGGCGATGGTGGGGAGAAAAAACTCCATCAGAATCCTTAAATGTGGACATTCTTGATTGGTGCAAGTCCGATGCGCTTCCACACTCTTCTATGTGACCAAGATCAGGCGACGTTGTTTTGGCTTGAGGTTATCATGCGTGCTGTTGTTTCCCTCAAGTTCTATCAGGACGAACAGGAGTACTGTTTGAGGCAGGGTGGGAGGGTGGGATTGGGGAGAACACAAGTTGTTGGTAGACTTAATTTATTATTTTATTAATCATCAGCATTTCTAAGCAAGAGACCAAACAGGGACCCAAAAAATAAAAATCATAAAACCAAACACTACCTTAAAATGACTCCAGGAATAAGAAGCACATTGCCACGGGTCTGAAGTTCAGCAAAGAGGGCTCTGTCTCTAATGTCAGGTGGGAGGGAGTTCCACAGGTTTCGGCCCACAACACTGAATTCATCGTTTGCAGCTAGTTTCAAGCTGTATATCTGAGCCATGTCAGCCATGACAGAGACTCCTCAAAGATCTTAGTGATCAGGCAGGGGTATAAGGGATTGGGAGATCCTTAACATATACTATACCCAAGATGCTAGAGGCCTTGTAAATCAGTGCAAGTGTCTTGAAGCAGGCCCGGTCATCTATGCACAGCCAGTGCAAGCTTTTGAGCACTAGAGCTATGCGCTGATGGTCATCGGCCCCCATCGACGCGTGCAAGGCCAGCTCTATCATCCTGAGGCAAAAGGAGGCAATTGCCTAGGGTGGTGGGCATGGCTGGGTGTGAATTTGGCCCCAGGCTCTCCACTCACTCGCTGGCTCTCCCAGATTGTGCACGTGGCCAGGGCTGGCCCAAGGCATTTTGGTACCTGAGGCAAACCTGAGGTGCCCCCCGCCCCCAGCCAGGGAAGAAGGGGTGAGTGAAGATTCACATCAAGAACAAGGGAGAAACAAAGGTCTACATCAGGAACAAGGATAAGAGGAGACCAGCCACACTGCCTATTCATCAAGAGTGGCAGCAAATCTGGCCTCCAAGGAGTGTGCCACAGCTGTTGCTGCCACCGTATTCCTTGGTGGTTGGATCTGCTGCCCCAGTGGATCCTGTTGCTTGAAGCGGTCGCCTAAACTTGCTTCATGGATGTGCTGGCTCTGCACATGTCTCTCAAGAACCAACCCCTGTCCTCTTCCCCACTGCCCTGGCTCCTGCTTGGTCGTTCCCCTTGTTAACACTTTTGCAGCCACTAACATGTGGGTACCATTTGCCATGCCTTCAGCTTCAGGCTCCTCCTCCCCTCTGGCTTGCTCTGAGGCAAGGCTGGGGTCCTTCAGCGCAAGGCGGTTTGCGCAGGTTGGTCCAGGAGAAAATTCATGCCTATGCTTTTAAGCTGTTAAATATTTTAAAAGAATTTCTAGCCCCCTGGGATGCCAGCTCCTTCCCGATATTTTTGGGTTGGGGCCGAGTCCCTTCAACATCTAGAAAGCACAGCGGCAAAATGCAGAGCCAAGCATGGCGTGGCTTCAGCAGCCGGCTCCTCCTCTTTTCTCTTCTCCCTCCCTTCTGTCTCCCTCCTCCTTTCTGCCTCCCCTGTATATCAGGGCACAAAAGGAAAACTCACTGTTTGTCAGGAACAGGAAGCTGGCCAAGCAGCCTATCCCAAAGGACCAGGAGAGATACTTTGGAGAGGTCGTATGAGGGATTGGGCTGCCCAAGGTGCTGTTGGGTGAGATTGACGTGCCGTACAACACCATGGTGACCAGGGAAATGATTCCTGCGGGTACGAAAAAAGAGCACTCAGCAGAAAGCCCTGACCAAAACCCTTCTCCTGCAGGGAGTTGCCCTCTGCAGTATGCTATTCGATGCACCAAAGATCCTCAGCCCACATTTAACATTTCACTTAAACAAAAAGGGAAACTCCAGGCCTGGAGGCCAACAGCATCCCTCCAGGCGCCCCTCCATCTGCCCCCTTCCCAGGACACCCCTTACTGACGCTGCTTCGCACCCCCCTTGAATGCAATTGCCTGGCTGGAATGCATTTTTGAACTCTGACTGTGCTTCTTGCTCGCCTGGCTGGAGGATAGAGAATTGTGAGGGCGGATCTACACTCATGGTTTATAACGCTAAGGAAGCGTTAAGGAATGGGTTTCATAATGCAGATGGACACATTATGTTCTGCCTTTAACGTTCATAATGCGTCATTGAAATGTGACACCAGAGGGCAGTGCCCACCACTGGCATGGGGTTCCTGGAAGACTGCCCAGAAGCATAGGAGCTGTGGTCCCTTTGCCCCCCCCCATAAAATATTGGAGGGGGACAGTACCCCCCCCCCAAATAAGTTGATAGCCATTGCCATTCAAATGATGAGTGTATGTATGTCTTGTGATTGATTTTGCGGGCAAGGCTTACCTGCCCTCCCAGCACCACTTGGACCTCAGTGGCCTTTGAACTGAAAAAAGTTCTCTATCTCCTTGTTTCCTCTACAATAATTCTTTGCTTTCCCTCTGTCTGCTAATATCCTATTTGTATAAATTTCCTAATAGCCTAACTGCAACAACCTACTTACACTCTCACTAGCAGATCAAGTAAGGGGAGTCAAGCTGCGAACAAGCTAGACGTTTGCAACTTTTCCTCCCCTCTTTGCCTGCTGAAGAGGCTGGTGAAACTCTAAAGCCTTACTTGGGTGTTATATAAACTGGGAAATAAAACATAGAATCATGGAATTGTAGAATTGGAAGGGACTATGAGGGCCATCTAATCCAACCCTCTGCAATGAAGGAATATTTTGTCCAATGTGAGGCTGGAACCAATGGCCCAGAGACATTAGCCCTATCACATCCAAGGCTATGGGGAGTGCAGCAATTGCGAGGCATTAAAACTGGAGGGTCATCCCAGCACTGAATGATACTCACTTACTTAACAGGGGAGCTGTAAAGATCACAATAATGCAACGTGGGCATAGTAGAACTGAAGTATTACACAAATGCTAAGGGCAAATAATCAGCCTTGCAGAGAGAGCGGTACCTGTGCATAAATTGGTGACAGCTGGCCACCTGGATAGCCTTAAACTGGTGCTGGACAGCAGTGTGCAGGCAGCTGCCACCAAGCCAAGGAATGTGCTGATTGACATCAAGATTCTGATGACAAGGAGGATGTCTGGGGAGAATCAAAGGTGAGTGATGCTGAAAGACAGATGTGTGAGAGAATCGGTTCTTAGCATTACAGAGCAGTAGGGAACAGGGGGGTCATTCAAATTTATTTGCATCTTAATGAGGAGCTCCCTCACGCACACTCCTCAAGCCAGCGTGGAATCTGAAACACAGCTGTCCTTTACAATCCCCACGCCTGTGAATTTTGCAGCACAGTTCTGCAACCAAAGAATGAGCACAGAAAAGCATTTTTTAAGGGAGATTGTGCAAGTACACAGGTGCCAGGGCTGGAGTCAGCCAAGCACGTCAGCAGGAAGAGGCAGAGTCAATTGTCAGTGAAATTAACTCTTTATTCAAGGAAACGGCAGGTTTCCCAGCAGGTCTTGCCTCTATGGACAGTTGCCAGGGCTGAAGGGCCCTGCCTTTCACCCTTTCTAAGGCTCCTCTTTTCCCAGATGTTTTCCAAGCTGTCTCAAACTGTGTCTGCACACCTCTGGCTACTGTTTTGCTCTCATTATTCTGCATGTTCTTGGAGACCGGCTGCAGCAGGAGACGGCAATTCCTGGGATTCTTCAGCAGCCTTGGAGTCTGAACTTCTGCTTGTCACAGGCTCTCCCTGCTCACTAAACCCTGTTGCCCCCCTCAGCATCCAGCCCCTTCTCCCAGTTCCCTCCCTCTGACCTTTCCCCAGTGTTCTACCACTAACCTCCTGGCTCTGAGCACTCCTCCTCTGGAGTTTCCCTTGGGAATTCCCTGGCTGAAGCCTCCAACCACTCCTCATCTTCCAGCCACTCCCTGACAATGGTGTTGGCCCAAGAAATTTTGCTACCTGAGGCAAAGGACAAGATGGCATCCCGCTCCTGTGTGCCAACCAGGCGGGCACCTCAATCTTCCTTTAACACTGGTAATAGGAAAGTGTTCCTCACTACCCCTTAGGGCAGTGCGGTCTAACTTTTCATACCAAGTGGGCCACAAGGGTACTTCAGACCTGCAGGCCACACACTGCCGTGTCACACGGCGGGTGGACTAATTGTGGTACCAGGCTTTGGGAAGGAAGTGGGAGACACTGGCAGGGTCCTAGAGACCTCCCACCTTGTTCCCAAAGTGGGGAAAACACTAAGCCAATGGCATCAACTTGCGCCACGTTGCATGCGCTGCAGCAGCACCTGGGGCCCCCATTATAATGATATCTGGCAGGCAAGCAGCCTGTTAAGCAGTAAGGACTCTTCGTCAGTTTATTTACAAGAAAAACACATCCAGAGCATGGCGTTCTGCCTGCTCTCATTAACCTTAGTTGCTCAGTCTGACTCATCGTCCCTCCCCCAAAAGGAAGGATGCCAAAATCCCTTTCTTCTCCTTCCCTTCTGTTGCTCTCTGATTCTTTCCAACCTCCTCATATGGGGACTGCACGACCGGCCTCTCTTCCCCAGAAGACGCAGCCTCTGACTCTGGCTTATCTGCTGGTTGCCTGGCAACACTTGGGCCGACTTCCAGCTCTTCCTCTCTTTGGGAGCTAACAGCTTGTTCCTTGGGAAGGAGGGGGGGGCAGGCTGTCTTCTCTAAACTCTGACAGACAGCTCTCATCCCCAGAGGCAGCCCCTTGCTCACTCAGCTCAATTTCTGAGGCTGACTCTTTCGCTGCGCTCGGGGGGGGGGGGGCACATTCCTGACACCCATGAGGCCTCAGATGTGACATTTGGTGCTTTGCAAGGCACCGGAAGTCGCATTGGACACCCCACGGTGTGGATGTTGAACACCCACAATAGTTTGTGGGTGCTCAGGCACCCAAGGCCGTTTATAGTTGGTGCCGGTAAACTAAGCTTTTGCCGGCCTGCCAAAACAGGCCTTCAGGACTGCATAGTGGACCACCCTGACTTGGGGGGTGCAGGAGCACCTGTAGCCCCACCCTACATCACTTTCCCACTCCACCTCCTCCCTTGCCATTCACTGGTAGGATTGGACCTGGCAACACGTTTCCCCAATCCTTGACATGGGTTGCCAAAATTCAAAGACCAACCCCCAGGTTCACTGCCGGGGTGGGGAAAGATGGAGGTAGGCAGGGAGGGAAGGGGGCTGCCTTACTTGAGTTCAGCCTAATTCTCTTGCATCTTCTGTTTATGCATATGTTCCAGAGGCCCAAATTGGTGACGAAATCCTTGTGGAAGATCTCAATCCAGGACGGAGAGAGAAGACTGATAAACAAACCGACCAGGCCAACGCAGCTGAATATTCTGATGAAGAACTTGTACCGGAAGGACAAGTGGCTATCTTCAGAAAGGTGGACTTCTGCCGGGAGGTGGGATGGGAAGGGGTGATGGAAGTGAGATGTTTTAACCCCCGTCTAACAAGCCAGAAGCACCAGCATCCATAAAACGTGGTTCGTGAAAACATTACATTCCAAACATCCACATCAAAAACACAAGCAGGCAGCAGTATTCTAAATAGTGTGCTAACATCCAATGCCAGCATAGAATCCTGTGCTAGGATGTTAGGCACCAGGCACCTTCATTATGGAAAAGAAGAGTCTTGCATCCTCTCTGGAAAGGTCTGCTCATATGACGACGGTGATGATGTTCTATTTTTGACAGTGTGACTTGTGAACAGCTCTGGAATTTGTAAATATAAATCGAACTCAAAATAATAATAATAAATCTGTAGGGTCACCAGCCTCTTATAACCAGCATGCTTGAGCAAAGGATCCAAGCTGCATACCCGATCCTTCACAGGGCGTGTAACCCTATCAGGAAGAGCAACTTCCCATTCATCTGGTCTAGGGAACCACCCAGTAATGGTGCCTCAATCTTATCTGGATTGAGCTTCAGTTTATTGGCTCTCATCCAGTCCATTACCAAGGCAAGACAAGGGTCCAAGTACCTGCAGATGTAAAGGATAAGCAGAGCTGTGTGTCATCAGCATATTGCTGGCAACATACTCCATACCTCCAGATGACCCCACTTGGCAGTTTCATGTAGATGTTAAAGAGCATAGGGGAATAAAATCAAACCCAGAGGAAGCCCAAATTGAAGGCTCTATGGGGCTGAACAGCTCTCCCCGAGCATCACCCTCTGAAAATGACCACTCAAGTAAGACCAGAACCACCACCAAGCAGTGGCTCCCAACCCTAACTCAGACAGTTGCTCCAGAAGCCATTGAGAGGTCTGATGAGAATTAACAGGAACACATCTCCCCTGTCTCTCTCCCAAGAGACTTTATCATACAGGGCAAACAAAGCAGTTTCTGCATCTAAACCAGGCCTAAATCTCAACTGAAATAGATCTAGAAAATCAGTTTCCTCCAAGAGCTCCCAGATGTAGTCCCTGACCACCTGCTCATTTCTGTTCCATGGCTCTGGCCTCAGGTTGCTGCTGGTGAGGCGATGAAACTGCTTACCCCCCTATCTGGGCTGCTTCCTCCTGCTGTCTTCCACCAAGCTTTCATCCAAGCTTAAGGGGGCCTACAACAATAGCCTCATTTCCCCATAGACAATTCTCCAGGGACCACATAGGAAAAGGTGGAGAGGAACTGAGGCAAAAGTGGGCAAAGCAACAGGTATTGTACTTAACTCTTTATAGGAGGCTGCGCTGCAGTCACGCAAGAGTCAGTGGTTTGCATATATACAAAGGCCATTCGCCTCTCTCCAGACAAACAAGAGGCATGGTCCCAGCTGAAGAGCACATTCCAGCCAGGCAAAAGCACTCAAGGACGGGCTGTAGATTAATGGCAAGATATCTGCTATGCATACATAAGGTGCCACTTCCCAGGGTTCTTTGGGGGGGGAGCCATTGCTGTTTAAAGTGTCATGGCACTGCTTTAAATGTATAACGCAGATGAAGTCATAGAGATAGGATAGACAGACAGACAGACAGACAGTGGCACCCTGCCCAGGGAGCACCCTCCCATCAAATGTCAAGGAGATAAAGAGCTACAGAACTTTTAGAAGACATCTGAAGGCAGCCCTGTATTGGGAAGTTTTTAATGTTTAGCTTTTTAATTATGTTTTTTTATATGCTGGAAGCTGCCCAGAGTGGCTGGGGAAACCGAGGCAGATGAGTGGGGTATAAATAATAAAATTATTATTATTTTATCATAAGATCTATTTCTTTCTACACTTCTGTATCTAACTCATATTAAATAGTAGGCACATTAAATAAATGGAGATGTCTCCGTCAAAATCTTTTGTGCTGTTCCTACTTACTTTTCTTCGTAAAATGCATCTTTAAGTGGTGGGAAAGAGTCACAAACACAGCAGAGGCACTGTCAAGAGGCACAACCAAAGGAAACAGGTTCAGTTTTCAGCAGAGAGATTTTAGCACTGGATAAACAGCTGTGGCTATTTTTCTGGTTCCTCTCCACTTACCAGTCCTCTGTTTCCCATGTACATGACTTAGGCTTGCTTCTTAGATGCTTGCTTTCACCCTCTGGGGTCAGCAGTTCCTCTGGCCACAGCAACAAGCTCAGTGGGATGCACCCCTTCTTCCATAGAACATCCCCAGCTCAGCTCAGCTTTCTGGAATCTCCTAACCAGGTTCCAAATGTCTGTAACTGCCATAGAACCTTCTTCACCCACCTGGCTCTCAGAAGAACTTCTCTCCACAAGAGTAGGGGTGGGAGTCAGTGGCCCAGTTTTGACCCTCCAGGCCTCCTTATATGCCCCTGGGGACTCTTTCCCGGCCACACTCCCTCCTCAGCCCCCTCCCCACACCCAGACCCAACTCTCAATATGACAGCTTTGCAGGGGAGGCTGGCCCAGTTGGGTAAATGGGCCACCGCCCTGCCAATGTCAGTGTGCCCTCAGCCAGTCCCCGCCTGTCTACCTTTGTATTTGCAACCAGTTCAGGTGGGTGGAACTGCCTGTCAGCTTCCTCCCCCTCAAGCTCACTGTTGCCCTTGTAGAACTTAGCAGGCAGAAGAACAGGAGCAAAATTAGAGTGAGTTGGCTCTGGCCGTCATTGGTTCTGGCGCCAACTAATGTTGGTCTCCTTGCCTTCTGCCCTATTAGACCCCATGGGCACCAGCCGGCTCTGTGTTTTAGTGGTGGGTGGGTGATGGGGCACATTGTGAATGAGGATCAAGCTTGGCTCCCATCGATGGTGTCAAAACCGAAAACGTGTGATGCCATATCTCAACCTCGCTTCATTAAGTATGGCCAGGAAATTCTCTCCATGGTGGTCTCATGCCACACCACATGTTCTGTAATGGTAGACATTACCAAGGGAAAGAGAGACTAGAGCCATAGCCTATGGCAATGATGTCCAGGTGTCCTACTTTTCATCGGACGGTCCTCCATTTGAAGGTGCCGTCTATTTGAAGGACTGCCCAACCCAAGTCTGGTTTAGAGATAAACCATCAAAAGGGGGAGATGCAGGAAAGGCCTTGAAGTTTCAGACTGAGCAGGCACACAGATCACCTGGTCTTACTCACTGCAATAGGACGCATTGTGACTCTACTTAATTGATAGCCATGATCTCTAAGTTTGCAGCTGTACATATAAATTGGTGTGTGCCAGATTTCTGCCGATTTGTGTCCTCATTTGTCCTGGTGATACATTTCCTCTTTCGGGGGTGATCTGTGAAGATGAGCAGGCAAACGAATCCCCTGATGCTATGGGCGACATGGTTAGGTCCTGTAATGAGTGTTGCCAGAGCAGATATAGGGACAGAGTTGGCATTATTTGTGTCCATGGCCGCTTAGATCCCTGGTCTAAGTAATGTAAGCATATGATTGCTTGATAAGCTTTATTATCCCCACATTGCCAGGGTGGGTGACAGCAAACACAAAACGCGATTTTAGAATGGATAAAAATCACTGCAATTTTAAAACACACAATACCATTCCAGGATGGAACACAACAACATAAATTCAGGTGGGTCATGAAAAACAAAATATTAATTTTTAAACGGTTCATCTTAAGCATGTGCCAAAAACTGTATCCTGAAGCTGCTAGATGCCCCTCCAATAAGGGGGAATTCCACAATATAGGGGCTGTCATGGAGGACGTCCTCTTTGGGCTGCTATTCTCTGCCCTTCTGAGGGTGATGCAACCACCAACTAAGCTCCCACTGCAGAGCTTAATGCCTGAGACAGTCAGTAAGGGATGGATATGGCCAGTGTTGGATGGATATGGTGCTGGAGGAGACTCTTGAGAGTCCCATGGACTGCAAGAAGATCAAACGCATCCATTCTTAAGGAAATCAGACCTGAGTGCTCACTGGAAGGACAGATCGTGAAGTTGAGGCTCCAATACTTTGGCCACCTCATGAGAAGAGAAGACTCCCTGGAAAAGACCCTGATGTTGGGAAAGATGGAGGGCACAAGGAGAAGGGGACGACAGAGGATGAGATGGTTGGATAGTGTTCTCGAAGCTACAAACATGAGCCTGACCAAACTGCGGGAGGCGGTGGAAGACAGGAGTGCCTGGCGTGCTCTGGTCCATGGGGTCACGAAGAGTCGGACACGACTAAACGACTAAACAACAACATGGCCAGTGTGATATAGTGGTTAAGAGCGATAGACTCGCAATCTGGGGAACTGGGTTCGCATCTCTGCTCCTCCACATGCAGCTGCTGGGTGACCTTGGGCCAGTCACACTTCTTTGAAGTCTCTCAGCCCCCTCACCTCACAGAGTGTTTGTTGTGGGGGAGGAAGGGAAAGGAGAATGTTAGCCGCTTTGAGACTCCTTCGGGTAGTGATAAAGCAGGATATCAAATCCAAACTCTCTCTTAATTGCTACTTCAGATGTAACAAATGCACAAGCTGAGCAGCTCCTATGGCTCATGAGGCCTTTACAAGCACTCCCCAGACACCTGCGAGCATATATTCACAACAGGAAGGACTGGGAACCTGCCTGGTCCTTAAAACAGAAACCTGAGTTTCCTGCTGGTCTTCTCTGTATCATTCCAGTAGGTGAGCACCAGAAACTGAGTTTTTCGAGATAGTGGATTATGCATCCAGCTCCATGTTTTTACGCTTTTGCAGAATTGCAGCAGCCTTGTAATCAAGTGGTTTATAAACGCATATAAACAAATAAATAGGTGGAGGTCACTTGGCACCATGTAGCTGTATGATGGCCAATGGGCTTGTGGAATAGCATAATAATATAACATAAATATTTTAAAAAATGACTTCAGTTGCTTTCATGGAAGCTGGGGAACGCCAGGAATAAGCAGGAAGAGAGGTGATGTGTGGAATGCAGTGGTGGGCTTCTTCAAATTTCAGCAGCGCCAAATGCAACACCAAAATTCAGAGTCCCCTGCCTCTCGCCTTCCATTTTAAGTCATTGTTGCGGCATCCCCTGTGGCACCTTCTCGGCTCAGCACCCAGTGTGGCAGAACCAGTTGTGCTCCCCTAAATCCGCTTCTGCGGAATGTGTGTGACATCACTGGAAACATCACAAAAGCAGGCGTGGAAACTTCAGGTGGTGGTCGCTAGGTGACCAGCACAGAGTGAAGGAGGCCTCAAACCAGTTTTTTATTCTCTGATGCCTAAGGTCCATAACAACTCCTGGCAGAGATGATAGTGACTAAGAAGTGTTTGACAATACATAGGATCCAAAGATCTATTGCCAGATTACCTGCTTTGTTGCCCCTGGTAAGCAGGACACAGTCGGCAAGGCTCGGACACAAACAAACGGTTCCTTTATCGTTCATGTATTCTTTCTTCTGCCTCTTGCTTCCTTTCGATCTCGCCTCCCTCCTCTTTCTCTCACCACCCTCTCATTCTTCCTATGGGGTCAGGAGTGAGGGACCTTTGGCACTCTGGATGTTGCTGAACGGCCATCACCCCTGGTCATGGGCCACACTTGCTGGGGCTGATGGGAGTTATAGTTCAGCAACTTCTGGAAAATGAAATGTTGCCCACACCTGTACTGCAGCTCTCAAGAGACACGTGTCTGAAATACAGTGGTGCCTCGCAAGACGAAAAGAATCCGTTCCACAATTCTCTTTGTCTAGCGGTTTTTTTGTCTTGCGAAGCAAGCCCATTAGCGGCTAAGCGGCTTAGCGCTATTAGCGGCTAAGCGGTTTAGCGGCTATTAAAGGATTAGCGGCTAAGCTGCTAAAAGGCTATTAGCGGCTTAGAAAAAGGGGGGAAAGCGGGGGGGGGGGGAATCGCAAGACTAGCAAGACGTTTCGTCTTGCGAAGCAAGCCCATAGGGAAAATCGTCTTGCGAAGCAACTCAAAAACAGAAAACCCTTTCGTCTAGCGGGTTTTCCGTCTTGCGAGGCATTCGTCTTGCGGGGCACCACTGTACAAAGTTGGAAAGGGCTATAGTAAGGATGCAACAGCAGCAGAGGGATATCATCATCATCATCATCATCTTGATATCCCTTCTTTATTCAGAAGGGACTCAAGGTGACTTACAGATAAAATAGAAACAGCTGAAAGCATATATTAAAAACAGTCATTCAGTCTGTCAGTCAGTCAACAAATTATTATTATTATTATTATTATTATTATTATTATTATTATTAGCCGCCCATCTGACTGGGTTGTCCCAGCCACTCTGTTTTGTTTTGTTTTTAATTTATTTTTGTTTTTCAAATTACAGTTTTACAATCACATATCCCACATACAACTTAAAAACAAGATTCCAAAGAATCTCCTGGACTTCCCTCCTCCACTTTGTGGGTCCTGTTGTTAGTCATTTCCTCCTGCACCTTTTATAATAATCCAAATATTTTACATCTCCGTTATATCTAAAATTCACAATTAATCTACAAGTGTTATTCCAATCCTACTAACAATTTTAACGGTTTACAATGGTTTTATAAATTATAAATTTCCCCCATTCTTTCTTAAAATTTTGGTCTTCCTGATTTCTGATTCTTCATTTTTGCCATTTCAGCATAATCCATCAACTTTATCTGCCAGAGTGGCCCCAGCCTCCCATCAAAATAATAAATGCTCTCCATCATTGTACCAATCACCACCATGAAAGCCTTACTGTTCTCTTAGGATGGCTTGATGTGGGCTTTCCTCTTTCCTCAGATCCTTGCCAAGATATGCTCGGCATCCTTCTACAGAAGCACCTACTGCACCTTGTGCTTTATCAACTTCATGCTGCTCGTGAATGTCATGGCAACTCCCTTATGGCTCCGACACGACTATGTGGACGGCTATTTTGTTTTCGGATTGTGGGCCATATGCAACCATCAGCTAGAGTGTGACGACGTTTTTCTCCCCGTCAATGGTGAGAGACACAAGACAGCTTTCCATTTTCTTGAGTCCCAGGACAAATGAGTTGGGAATGATCGGGGCTGTATACATTCTGTTCCATGGTAAATTGCAGGGGACTGAGGATGTGCTGTTCACAAGAAACTGGCTATCATGCTATAATAGTACTGATGCTCTCTGAGCTGGGGGTGGGGCGAGGTTTGCTGTGTTTTTGGACCTTCCTTGGGGGTGTGGCTACACAGTCTCTCATTATTAGCTCCTGCCATTCAGAATTTACCAGTACAGTCATACCTCAGGTTACAGATGCTTCAGGTTGTGTTTTTTCAGGTTGCTGACCACCGAAACCTGGAAGTACCGGAATGGGTTACTTCTGGGTTTTGGCAGTCGTGCATGCGCAGAAGTGCTAAATTGCGCTTTGCGCATGTGCAGACGCACTGAATCGCAACCTGCGCATGCGCAGATGCACCGCTGCGGGTTGCGGACGCTGTGGGTTGCGGACGTGCATCCTGCATGGATCACATTCACAGCCCGAGCGTCCACTGTACACGATATGTGAAATGAACCAGTGAGAGAGCTTCATAGCTGAGTGTTAACTTGAACCCTCACCTGTCCACTCCTAGGCTATGTTCACACCACACATTAAACATACTATGACACCAGACTTTCCAAGTGCCCCCATTTTCCAGGGACAGTCCCAGGTTTATAGAAGCCATCCCAGGTTCTGATTTGATCCCTGAATATCCCGCTTTTCCTTAGGATATCCCCATTTTCATCAGAGAAGTGTTGGAGGGTAGGGAATAGGATATCCCTATTTTCATTGGAGAAAAGTTTGGAGGGAACATCTCTCTTTCCATTGGAGAAGTGTTGGAGGGTATCTGACACCACTTTAAACAGTGATAACTTCCCCCAAAGAATTCTGGGAGCTCCAGTTTGCTAAGGGTGCTTAGAGTTGTCAGGAGAGACCCCTATTCCCCTCACCAAACTATAATTCCTGGATTTCCCTGGGCAGAGCAATTGCTCTGGGAATTGTAGTTTTGTGAGGGGAATAAGTGTCTCCTAACAACTTTTAGCACCCTTAACAAACAATGGCTCCCCAAATTATCTCCCAGAAGCCACCACTGTTTATGATACCGCTTTAAATGTGTGCTTTGCATGTGGCCTAAAGCACTGCACCACTCCAACTCTAAGTAACCTGATATGCAGCTTTATATATCATTAATTCTTTCCCACTCCTTTCACTTCCTCTAGAATATCTGCATGTGGTCCGTCTCCTTTTGATACTAGCCTTAATCAGTGATTTCGTTGCCCTTTTTTTGTCATGGGAGTTTCTTGCTCAGATCGTGAGAAGGGTGGTATCCGAAAGCCTGCTTTCTTCTGTGGCCCACTTCGGCGCAGGTATTGTGTAAGCCATAATAGCAATATATGATAGAACAGCACTCCTGACCCCCCCACCCCACCCCTGAACCAGCTAAAAATCACAGATCAGTGAGCCTTGGAAGAGTGTTGATTCAGGATTGGAGAGAAAGGACCAGCTGTGAACACTGCAAAAGGGAGCAAATGCGAAAGGGGACAGGAATCCTGTGCCATACGGTGAGGCCTCCTCCCTGAGTGATAGTCTTTCTCTAGAGCAGGTGTGAGGAGCCTTTGTCCTTCCAGATACTGCTGAACTACAACTCCTAACAGCCCCAGCAATCATGACCAATGGGCAGGGATGATGAGAACTGCAGTTTGGCAACATCTGGGTGGAGGGAGCAAAGATTCTCCTCACCTGGCTTGGAAAGCAGGAGGCCAGTAGCCTCTAAATTCCCAGGGCTCATGAAGGCCGTTATGTCAAGCAAATTGGCTTTATAAATAACTGAACACTACTTTGATAGGGGTTGTCCCTAGTTTAAGCCCGCCCTCCCCCCCGTCTCTCTCTCTCTCTCTCTCTCTCTCTCTCTCTCTCTCTCTCTCTCTCTGTGTGTGTGTTTGTGAATTCAACTTGTTTTTATTATTGCTTGTTAGCCGCCCTGAGCCCGGCCTTGGCTGGGGTGGAGTATAAATAAAAATATTATTATTATTATTATTATTATTATTATTATTATTTAAACAAGTTGGAATAAGAAGGTCAAAAGTAAAAATGCATCTTTAAAAAAGAAAATAGTCCATACAATTCATTTCCTTTCTCTGTTTAAGCCCCAGCTTTGTACACCGAATGGTGGCAGATATAAAAAATACATCTGTATGCACATGTCTGTATGTTACGTCTCCTGGTCAGATATCTCTGAAGCCCTTTCACTTCCCCCCAACCTATGTGAAGACCTTGGATTTCCTATTTCAGTCAGAAACTCATGCATGTGAGTGAACAAGGCCAGGCTGAGCTGGTCATTTCTTATGTCAAGTGCCTTCCTCCTCCTCCTCCTCCTCCTCCTCCTCTTCCCTTTATCACTGACAGGGATGCCCAGAGTAGCTGGGGCAACACAGCCAGATGGGCAGGGTATAAATAAGAAAGTTGTTGTTGTTGTATGTGTATTGCTCATGCAATCATATTCATGTCTGCTGAGAATAAAGCCTACTAAGGTCCATGAGACTTACTTTCAAGGAAGTGAGAGTAGGGCAGGGGTCAAGTATCTGTGTCCTCACACTGTTGGACTCCAGCTCCCATCAGCCCCAGCCAGCGTAGCCAGTGGTTGATGGAAGTTGCAGTCCAGAAACATCTGGAGGGCCCAAGGTTGCTCAGCCATGGAGTATAGGGCTGACTAAGTGTGATTTTAAGTTGATCTTGGGTATTTGAAAGCTTTATGTCGACTATTGATGGATATGTATGTTTAAGGTGTCCATACCAGATAATTCTGAAAATAAAATTAAGGCATCCAGAAGAAGAGAGAAAGGAGAATGGGATCACCACAAAGTCTTCTTTCGTCCTCCTTCTGCCTGCAGGTTTCTTTCTGCTCTGTTCTTTAGTGGTTACATACTGCAAGCTTGCAACTGAGGTTGATTCAGATGGGACTCATGCAGCACCATACCTGGGATTCTTCGCAGGGTGCTTTGCCTGTTTCCTGTGTTTCCTCTTAGGTAAGTACAGCCCATACACAGGAGCGGCTCTCCCATGGAGTGGGCACCCCACAGGCGGCAAAGAAATGGCAGTTACCCTGCAAGATCTCACAAGCCTGCTGCCATTGTTGTCATTGTGGGAGCTGCCGTGACGCCCAGGTAAAGGGGGCAGCAGTGGGAGCAACAGAAGAAGAAGAAGAAGAAGAAGAAGAAGAAGAAGAAGAAGAAGAAGAAGAAGAAGAAGAAGTAGTAGTAGTAGTAGTAGTAGTAGTAGTAGTAGTAGTTTGGATTTGATATCCCACTTTATCACTACCTGAAGGAGTCTCAAAGTGGCTAACATTCTCCTTTCCCTTCTTCCCCCACAACAAACACTCAGTGAGGTGAGTGGGGCTGAGAGACTTCAAAGAAGTGTGACTAGTCCAAGGTCACCCAGCAGCTGCATGTGGAGGAGCGGGGAAGCGAACCCGGTTCACCTGATTACGAGTCTACCGCTCTTAACCACTACACCATACTGGCTGCACCTTCCCATTTCACGTTAGGTGGCAAAACAGGGCACTCCAACCCTGCCCAGGCACCTTACTTTTCAGAGAGCAACCCACTACTTGAAGAGTTGACTGGCACAAACCCACTTTTAAGATTAAGGGCCGTCAGAAGGGAGAGCTGCAGGAAACTTGGCGTTGCCCACCAGCAATGAGTAGCACAGCAGCCATGGCACTCCTAGGAGCTGAGGTCCCTTCAACCCACCCCCACAATAAAATACTTGAGGAATCCAGGCCCCTGCAAAGTTGGTGGCCATTGCCATTCAAACGGTGTGTCATCTTGTGATTGATTATGTGGGGTGGGGCTTACCTGGGCACCCCCTTATTTTATTCAAGTTGGCACCCCTGGTTGCAACACCTGTTCAGCAGACTGAGTGTAGTTTGTTAAGGGTGCTGGGAGTTGTAAGGAGACCCTTTCACAGTGCTGCAATTCGCAGAGTTCTCTGGGAAGAGGGGTGGGCTGTTAAGTCACTCTGAGAATTGTAGCTCTGACACCTTTGCTTGCTAAATAAATCTAATCATATAGCTGAAAATCTAAAATTATTGTTATTACTTGCTTAGTGGATTCTGAACAGCAGTCTTGTTGGAGTAGTGATGGCTTTTTTTATTTTCTACTCTCCCTGCACCCAGGAACCCTGAGTCTGCTGCAGCACAGGAGGTGGTTCTTTGGAAATAAAATAATGAAGATCTAAATAACACCAGCCGTGGGTTCAAAGTGCATTACTGTTGGATCACATGTGCAGTCTTTGGGCTGTACCCATCATCACAGGCATTCTTCTCCATAAGCCACATACCAGTTCCTGGAGCCTGTCTAGAAAATGGAAATTCTGTGTGGTGATGTCACTTAATAGAGTCACTGGAGATGTTGAAGGACTTCAGCAAGATACATATAGCAGCATTAAAAATAAACTGTTTGTCAAATGGATGTTTCTCAATCTGATATGTAATGCTATGCACAGTCACTTTATTATTCAGTTTCTCGTGGCTAGTTTTATCTCTGTGTTAATTTTATTCAAAAGCCCACACCTCTCCAAATGTTCACTTCTGGCTAGGGATGAGGGAGAAAGTCAGTTCAGTTGTCAGCATGAACAATTTACTTTCCAAATCAATACATGAACTGAAACACAGCTATCCTTTGAAATTTGCGCTTCTCTGAAGTTTGTAATATGACTCCAAACCCACAACAATGGGTGTGTGTAGAGGGGCAAAGTGTGCATCAAAATGCTTATGTTAGGTAGAATGGCAGAAGAACATGTATTACATAGCAGGAAGCTGCTTGAAATAATGTTAATAATTTGGCAAAATTGCAACTACGAAGAAACTATGAAGCAAACACAATTTTCAGGAGGATTTCCCAGGTTTTCATGTTTCATATGGAAACATTTTGTTTGTTTCTCTGTGTTGTTTTTTTTTAAAATCACAAACTGATGTGGAAATGTAAATAAGAAATAGAAAACTGGAATTGATAGATTCAGTAACCCATATTTCTGGACAACTTTGCACTATTTTTAGTCTGGTGAACATGAGGGAGAAATTTGATTCAGTTCACAATTAGAGGCAAACTTACCTCACTTGCCTTTTGCCCAATGATATGTGAGCAGGAAAACAGCCATCCTTTAAAACATGTACTTATCTGAATTTTGCAGTACAATTCTGCAGCCAAGCAATGACTACAAGGGAGGCTTTTTTTGGCATTGGGGGGGGGGAGGACAGGGAGAGAAGAGAAGAGTTTCCAGGTCCAATTCAAGTGCTCACATTGATATTTAAATTCCTAAATGAGGCCCCACATATCTGAAAGACTGCCAATAGACCTTTCTGAGTGCTAAAATCACCACATTGGCTACCTGTGCTATGAAATCAGAGGCTTCTTTCATTCTAAAGAAGAAACTTTGTGTAGGACAGCTAGTAAAAGGTAAAGGACCCCTGGACAGTTGAGTCCAATCGAAGGTAACTATGGGGTTGCGGCGCTCATCTCTCTTCCAGGCCAGGAGAGCCAGTGTTTGTCCACAGACAGCTTTCCGGGTCATGTGGCCAGCATGACTAAACCACTTCTAGCACAACTGAACACTGTGATGGAAACCAGAGCACATGGAAACACTGTTTACCTTCCCGCCGCAGTGGTACCTATTTATCTACTTGCACTGGTATACTTTTGAACTGCTAGGCTGGCAGGAGCTGGGACAACAGGAGCTCACCCAGTCGCAGGGATTTGAACTGCCAACCTTCCGATCAGCAAGCACAAGAGGCTCAGTGGTTTAGACCACAGCGCCACCCACTCCCCTAGGACAGCTAGTACATTGTTATTAAAATATGGCTTTCATTGTTCCCATGGGAGCTGGGAATTGTTAGGTCTAGGCAGAAAGAGGGGTGTGTGACATCATTGGAAATATCACAAAGGCAGACATGGAAACCACCCAGAATCATGCTTGCTAGATGAGCAGCACAGAGGAAAGGAGGCAGTGTTCCTGTGATCTGATGCTGAAGGACAGAACCAACTATAGGGAGAGATGATACTGAGCAATAAGGTACATCCCAATCCACAAACCCGAGAATATGCTACCAAATCACTTTGTGTCTTGCATCTGGTCAAGAAGACAGAGTAGGCAAGACTCTGGCAAGCTGCTCCTTTATTCACAACCTTTTTTTCAGCGGCAGTAATGCTTCTGAATACTAGTAGCTGGAAACTGCAGGAGAGGAGAGGGCTGTTGTTCTCAGGTCCTGTTTCAACGTTTCCCTCAGGTATCTGGTTGGCCACTGAGAGAACAGGATGCTGGTCTAGATGAGCTAGTGGCCTGATCCAAGAGGCTCTTTTTGTGTTCTTAAGTTCCAGATAGTTCTTGCCCCTCTGCCTTCCAGTCATCCCCTCCCCTTCTCCTTCCTCTTTACCCTTTTCTTCTAGTGTCCTCTAGGGACAAATGTGTGGAAAATGAACTGGGAAGCACAGGCAGTTGGTCTCCTTTTCCAGGAGCTGAGCGTCCCACACTCTGGCAGGGTTTAACAACCAATCCCTCTTCCAGGGAACTCTGAAAATGGTACCTCTGCATGGGGAGGAAAGGGGTTTTCCTAACATCTCTCAACACGCTTAGCAAACCACAGCTGCTAGGATCCTTTGGAATAATAATAATAATAATAATAATAATAATAATAATTTATTTATACCCCGCCCATCCGGCTGGGTTTTCCCAGCCACTCTGGGTGGCTTCCAACAGGATTTTTTAAAAAAATAAAAGATCAAACATTAAAAACTTCCCTAAACAGGGCTGCCTTCAGATGTCTTCTAAAAGTCAGACAGTTGTTTATTTCCTTGACATCTGATGGGAGGGCGTTCCACAAGGCGGGCGCCACTACTGGGAAGACCCACTGCCTGGAGGAAGCTGTGTCATGATATTGCTTCAAATGTGTAGTGCAGGTAGGGCAGGTGGAACTCTGTTCAGAAGAATCCCAGAGCAGAGCCAACTAATGCTAGTTTTGTCCCCATCGCCTTCACAAGTTATGTTCTACAAGGGTAAACACTAAAAGGCCTGGAAGCTGACGAATAGTGCTACCCTCTCAACTGGTTCCAAGTAAGAAGGCAGGCATGTGAGGATTTTCTGAGGGCAGACTGAGGTTTGTTGGGCGTTTCCCCATTCTTCCAAATGGACCATTCTCTACTGAGATGGACCAAATAGTCTCATTCTGTATAAGGGAGCTTCCTTTGTTCCTATGAGCACCTCCCAAACCACCTTGCAAGTTCAATGGCACAGAGTAGGAGCCTATGGAGTGCAGGAGATGTGCCATTCATCAGGCCAGAGGGATGATCCTTTAAGAGACTCTAGTTGTTCAAAAGGAGACAGAGCCTAGACGAGGTGGACTGGAGTGTCATCATCCCAAGCCTTATTAGAGTACATTGCTCACTAGGAGGTCTCCATGGTACTGAAACAAGCAACCTGTATTGTTTTATCACCTCCTTCCTGTTACCAGAGCAGGGCAGTTCCCCACACCTGCTCTGACATATCAACGTGATGTCTTACTATTTTAAGGATGCCTGATGATGCTGGACTCCCCCCCCCTTTCTGCAGGTCCTCCTCAAGATCTGCCAGGCAACTTTCCGGGAAAAGACATACTTTACATTGTGCTGCATCAACCTCACCTTGCTCGTAATTGTCATAGGATCTCCCTTAATGCTATGGCACCATTATGAAGATGCTCAATATTTAATGTTGGGATGGTGGACCATATGTGATCAGTTAGGATGCGATGCCATTTTTGTCATAAATGGTAAGTGGCATGCTTGTTTAATATTGGGGATGGGTGGGGAGTTCCTGGGCCAAATGAGTAATTGTTAATTGATTACCAGGGCTATAAATGGTGCAGTATGCTAAGCTGAAATTATGCATCCTATGTTAGCAACACTATCACCAGAAAAACAACAACCAACTGAGCAAATTAATGCACCTTTTAAACTGCATACTGTAGTCTGCACATTTCTACTACTTTGCCAAATTTAGGGTCGGATCATTATAGGTAGGAGACACACTGGGATTTTTCTCTCTTCCATCCAGCACTTCAGCTAGCAACAGGGTAACATGTGCCTCCATCATGAGCAAGATCCAGTTGATCTATTTTCTTAGAGATGATTTGTGGGGGCTCTGCTACCCAGTAGGCAGAAGTCAAAGGCCATCAACCAGGGAGGACAAAGAGAGAGAACAGAAAAATGTCACATGGATAATTCTGGCTCTATAGAGACACCTTGTTACTCCTGTTCTTGATACCAGACTTGAGTATGGTTTTGATCATGAAAATACTTTGAAAGCCATGTGAGAGCCTTTGGGGGCAATGCAGGGAAGATGTAAGTATTCTAAATAAGTAAACAGATGTTGTGGGGAGAGCAACTCCCACCAGAGCAACAGCAAGCAAGCAGGGGAGGCCAGATTCATTCCTCTCCATCATGATGTCAACATTAAACACCTCCATCTTCTCTCGGAATGAGGTGGAGCTCTCATTGAGCTATTGCTGACAGGTTTATTGTTGCTTTTGATTGGTTATCTTTCACTATGCATTTTCTTGTTTGCTGCTTTGCACATTTTATATGGAAAGGCAGAACATCCAATCAGCAAAGACATTTTGCTATTAATTGGTGTTCATCCTTTAGCTGGGCTGGGATCTGACGGGGCCTTTTTTAGTTGTTGCAGGATGAGTATTTTTAGGTATTCTTTAATTAAAAAAATCTTTTGTGCATTTCAATTTGACATTCACTGCTTTTTTTTTAAAAAAAATGTAAGTCTCTCTGAGACAAGAAGAATGGCTTTACGGGACAGATATTAATCATGAAATAATAAAACACTCCCCAGGGACATATCATTTGGGAAAAAGGCTCAGGACCTCAGCACAAGGGTCAAAGCCAATGATCTGAAATGAGATGTTGGAGGGGTGGCCCAAGACATTTCGGAACCTGAGGCGGTCCCCAAAATGGTGCTCACCTCCCTGCCAGGGAAGAGGGGTGAGGCAAGATCTACATCAGGGGCAAGGTGGGAGGTGATTCTGCTGCCTGAGGCAGTCAGCTCGCCTTGTCTCATGGGTGGGTTGGCCCTGGGTATTGGAAAGGAGTGCCTTTCAGTATTACAATGGAGTGATACTGCTTGGAACAAATCTCCAAAAATCTAGGGAGGAGGATACAGATGATCTTGGACACACAAAATTCTAGTTGGGGCAGAAATGGGGTGAGGAACATGTGGTCCTCCAGATGTTGCTGGGCTACAACTCTTATCATTCCTGGTCATTGCCCAGGCTGGCCGGGGCTGATGGGAGTTGCAGTCCAATGACAACCAGAGGGCCACAGGTGAGTCACCAGTGGGTCAATAGCCTGAGTTAGTCTAAGG